TGCAGAGCCCCTGGGACATCCTTCCTCTGCCATCCTCTCCTCCTGCATGGCAAGCAGCTCTCTCTGATAAATAATTCCCTTTTTTTTTCTTTTGGCTGATTGCATGCTGTTACTAGGAAACATCCTGGCATCCCTGGGACTGCAGCTCGGAGCAGGCTGGCAGCTAATGAAGATAATTAAGATTTTATAGTCACCTTTCTGAACGAGCTGGCCAACCCTTCCCATGGGGATCTGAGAGGGCTGGGGTCCTGAGTGCTGAGTGGGCTTGGAAATGACCCAAGGAAGGAAAAATTACTTCTTCAGGGCTTTGTTGGTGTCTGTGCTGGGGCTGTTTTGGGGCTGGGGGCAACCAAAAGGCTGAGCAGCATTTCCAGGTGTTGCATTTCAGTGGTCATCAGAGCCCCTGGCGTGAGATAACAACCTGAGGTGAATTTGGGAGCTCTCACAGGTCAGGGATTTTCCTAAGTTGTAATTTGGCTGTGGCTGCTGTTCTGTAATTAATAATATGGACTTGATCAGGTTGGTCACTTGGCTTTAGGTCAGAGAAGGGGTCCTGTTTGCTGCTGAGGACACAGCTCCTGCTGTTCCCATCCCAAGGAGCAATTCCACCTCTGGGGGAGAGGTTTGTGTGCCACGAGTCAAGAAAACTTTGTCCCAACAGCCTTGGCTTAAAAGCACACTGGAGAATTGTTCTTTGGCGAGATTTCTGAGCCATCAGTGATTGCTCTCTGTAATTACTGCACTCTGTCCTGGCTGAGTTCCCTCAAGGAATTGCTGCAGCTCTGTGGGTGAACTGGACACCACCAGGATCATTCCTGTGCCCAGGACTCCACCAGGTTAAAYCCTCWCACCCCAAAGAGGCAGCAGYACCCMRATGGGCAGTTTGGGATGATCCCTGSCTCCCACAGCTCCTGAASCCTGATGKTTTTGGGGTCAGTGRACCAACACYGTGCCAGGAACCTCGYGGGGYAGGCAGAGCTCACCCTTGGCAAACCACGAGGCTGGAACTGACAGGGACAGCTCACTGTGAAAGACTGCTGACCCCACAGGATGAGTTTGAGAGAATCAACACCTCGATCCCTCTGATCTGGTTAGGAGTCTTGCAGGCTTTCCATTTAAATTTCTCAAAAACCCCAGCCCCAGGGTGGTGAAGGATGTGCTGGACCTGCCCAGGTTTCACAGCTGAGAGCTCAAAAGGTGCTCAGCTGCCCCTCAGGGGGATCCCACAACTCCTTCCCCACCTTTTAATCAGAGGATAACCCCTCCAATGCCTTTTTGTGGTGGGAGGAAGGAGCTGACCTTTGCAGATCTCCATTCCTGCTTCCCTCTGAGCTGCCTCCTTGGCTACCCAGGCTGAGAGCTGAAACAGTCGAGGGCAACTCCCTCTGCCCCCCTGAGCAATCCTTATCCAAGAGAGATCCCCTTGCAGCACATGGCATTTCTGGAGCAGCTCCTTYCCTACCCCCATTGTTCCTGGGAAAGGCAGACAATGATCTAAGAATGCAAAACTCCTGAAACCCCTCCAGAAAGCCGAAATTTATGAGCAGCCYGTTCCAGCTGGCAGAGGGAAATTGTCAGTGGAACAAAAACATTGTGTAATAAACCCCCTCATCCCCCTCTGGGGGGGAGCTGAGACAGCCACAAGGGAYGGGGGGGTTGGGGAAGGAGCGGTGGTGGAGCACTGAGCATCCCCATGGAATCACAGAACAGATTGGGTTGGAAGGGAAAATAAAGATTATCTTGTTCCACGGTCAGAGACACCTTCCATGACCCCAGGCTGCTCCAAGACCTGTCCAGCCCAGCCCTGGACACTTCCAGGATGGGGCAGCCACAGCTTTGGCATTGCAGACCCCTCTCAGTGGCTGCCCCAGAGGTTTTAAAGTTCATTTAGGTGCTGAAGTGGCCAGAATGGTTTGTGTGAGCACATGGACTCTGTCATATCCTTTTGCAAGGTCCTGACTGCTCTCAATGATGGGTGAATGAAAGAGATCTCTCAATCCTTTTCCATAAAAATAGCGTGAAAAGATGAGGGATGAAAGGCTGGAATCCTGACTTTTCTCCAAATTCAATCATTGCTTACCATAAAATTCCACATTTACATTTCACCTTAACTCCCCAACCATTGCATCCTGGGGCTCCCAGGAGCGTGTGTGATCATCCAGAACTCAGGAGTGTCCTGGAAAGGGGAGGGATGCGCTGGTGCCAACCATCTTTCCACATTTCCCAGGTCACACYGAGATGAGCGAGGATTTTACGAGCCTTTAGCACATTTTTGGGTGCTTGGAGCTGCTGCACAGCTCCTCTGGCCTCCATCTGRTTTACAAGTGATGCCAGAGGGGAGGTTTCTCTGGGATTTTGGGATGTCTCCCTCCCACGTGTGCATCCCCTCAGACACAACACTGGKTTGTAAAACGTGCAGCGGGGGAAGCGAGTTCTGCTGTGGAGCCTGACACCTCCTCCCTTCCATCCCTCGTTTTTTCCTTCCCCCTCCTTCTGTCTGGTTGGATCTGAGAGAAAACCCACTCAGCAGACAGAGCCAGGCTGTGAAATAAACCCATGAGGTGCTGGGAATACTCCAGCTGGGATTTATTCTTTTTTTTCCCCRTATATATAAAAGAGGTAAAACTGTGATCGTTGAAATACTGTGCAGCAGAGACAATCTGAAAATTCAGTCTTTAAATCCTTAAATATGTAATTCCTTGCTTTTCCTTTGACCCAGTGTGGCATTTCAGTGTCTCCACTGAATTTAATTAAAGTTTTATGGGGGGTAATTGTGGGACACCTCGAATCACTCACCGGTTATGGGATAGCACTTTCCAGTGCCAAARGAGTGAGGAATGAGACACTTTCCTGGGAACAATGACCCTTTTYATCATTTCTGCTTTGGGGAATTTTAAAGAGGAACAAGGTCCTGTCCATTAGCAGTTCATGGAAGCCTCTGCCAGAGAGAGGAGCCAGTTGATCCCAAGGTAAAATGTGCAAAATTTATCTGTTCTTCCTCTTAATTGACCCAAAGGAAGTACAAAGAAAAAAAGAAATCCGGGCCAATTATTTTTTAACTGATTTCTTCATGGTGAAAAATTTAAAGCTTTRGACTGACTGAAACTTCAGGGATTGGGTTGAGCTGAAAAAGTCAAAGTGGGAAAAGTTTCATTAAGGCTCTTTCAAGGAAAGTTTTTGGACTTCTGATAGGAAAATGATGTTTGAATGAAAATGAAGTGTTAATGTCTCAGTTTCAATTCAAGATCCTCAGAACTATTTTTGCAGAATCACAGATTGGTTTGGATTAGAGAACACCTTAAAAATTATTCAATTTCAACCCCCTGCCATGGGCAGGGACACCTTCCAGTATCCCAGGCTGCTCCAAGCCCTGTCCAGCCTGGCCTTGGACACTTCCAGGGATTCAGGGGCAGCCACAGCTTCTCTGGACACCCCGTGCCAGGGCCCCACTCTCACAGGGAAGACTTKCCTCCTAAGCAAAGAATTTTAAGTAAAGTATTTAAGTTTTGAGTAAAAGCAAAAATTGTCCAGTTAAAATGCTAGACTGATTTCCCTTCCCCACAGCTTCAAAATTTGCACTGAGCTTTCGGGGGCAAGGAAAAATAATTTGAAATTTTATCTTCTAGTTAGCATGGAGAAATCCATGGTCCTCCAGTCTGGCCACCTGAATTTAAAATGAAGTTAATTTTTCCTGTGGGCTGTCCCTAAACAGAACTTCTCTTCCATCCCATGAGGAATGTGTCTCACTGCTGAGGACAATGCTGGAAGCAAAGCCCAGAAGATTCCTGCTTCCAAGAGATGGAGCAGCTGCCACTGAGGCTCCAGATGGAGATGCAGCCTGGATTTATCCACAAAAATTCACTTTCAGGATGGACTTCATAAGGACCCACCTTGATTTCCACTAGTTTTTCTCTCCAGGCATCTGGGAAAGGGAATGTGGCTCTAAGTTGCAGGAGAGGAACCATTTCTCAAGGCTTGAACCATCTCATTTAGGACAGCTGAGACCTGCAGGCTCCTTCCTGGAAATTTTGTGGTGGGAACAATGTCCTGTCCTCGTGTTTCTCAAAGCTGACCCAGCATTTGGGTGATTCTTCATTTTAAAACAAAGTTCATATTTATTTTTCCTCCCTAACCTGCTGTATTTTAAGTGCCAGGACCCACTTTTCACTCAGTGGCTGAATAACATAAAACATAAAATGTGTAGGTGTTTTTTTGTGGTTTTATCTTGTTTTTTTTTTTCCCTTTTTTTGGTTTGTTTGTTATGTTTGTTTGTTTTGTTTGGTTTTTTGGGTTTTTTGTTTTGTTGTTGTTTGGCTGGATTTTTCTTTTTTTTTTTGTTTGTTTTGAGTGTTTCTATGTGGTTTTTGTTGTTGTTGTTGTTTGGTTGAGTTTTTTGTTTTAGGGTGGTTTTTTTGGGTTTTTTTGGGTTTTTTTTGCTTTTTTTCCCATACATTTTTGTCCAAATTCACTGTAAGTGCTCCCAACTTGTTCTCCTCCCCTCTCCTCCAGACTGCAAGCTGGAGCTGATGGGTACAAAAACCTGGAACGCTCCATCCTGATGCTTCCCCGACACAGCGAGAGACCAGAGGCAGAAATCAATACAGACAGAGCTTTTATAATTAAAAAAATTGTGCATTTTGACAAACAGCTGGCAGTTATACCCATCCCCCATCCCCTTCAATGTCTGGAACCCAGACATCTGATTTTTTAATGTTACATGTGATGACCCCATAAGACTGTCCTTGAATGAACTTGTGGCTACCAGCCAAGACCCCAAAGGCAGCTCCACCCTGTACTCGACCCCAGCTGACCCCAGAGAGAACCAATCCCCCTCTTCCAAGGCATTATTTTCACAGAAAAGCCATAATTTCAATCTCTTGATGGAAAACGCCTCTGAAAAAATCAACACGTGGGACGCAAACTGATTTATTTTTATGAAAAAAAGTAAACAAAGAAGAATTTTAATGAGGAGGTTTTTGTTTTTGATTTTGTTTTTTTTGTTTTTTTTTTTTTTCCTCCAAGATGTCCATGGGGAAATAAGGCTGTTTCTAGTAAACGAAACGACACCGTGGCTGGTTGTCTTGTCCAGAGGCTGAGTGAAAGTCTGGTCACGACCCAAAATAAACCTTCCTCACCTGGGGAGCACAAGATTCAGCACCCAGGCGTGGTGCTGATGGTACAGACAGAGCTCTGGTGCCTAAAATTCCTCCTTCCTCAGCAGGAAGAAAAGATACTCAGGGAGCTTTGGAGTGGGTGGGGAGGCATCACCAAGGGGGGACAGAGGAGTGAATGGCAGGGACACCACGAGCAGGATTGTCCCACTCTGACAGGATCAGGAGTGGTGTGGGCACACAGAGAGAGCCTGAAGGCACCTGCGGGTGCCATGTGTCCCAAAATTGCMGTGACAAAGCCTCTGGAGTCCCCACCCTTGCTGGGCAGCACCAGAGGTCTCAGCCCCACCCTGTTCTAGGCACAGGGAGCTGTGTGCACTGAAAGGCAAAAAAAATTCAGCATCCACCTCACATTCAGTTGGGCAGGGAGGGAATCCCCCGGCTTGCTGAAGGTCCAGAGCTCAGTGCAGCAATCCCTCCCTTAAATTTTTTAGTCCAGTTTGGAGTTCATTACCCAAAAGTCCCTTTTCTCCTCTTGAAGTTCCTCTCTCTGATGGATGTGTGTTGCTACAGAGGACCCAGGATTTGCTGGTGCTGCTGTTGTGGGGGGTCAGCCTGGGGGTTTCTCTGGCTGGAAATGTTTTGGGTACGGCGTCGTCTCCTTGGCAGGGAGAACCACACGTGGCTGACAACAGGATCCAACTGGATCAGAACCCTGTATTGCTGCAGGTATCACTTCCAGGGCACACAGGAGACTTCTGGCTGGCTGGAATCTCCTTTTGGATGTGCCCATGGCGAGTCCACCATCTGGACCACAGGCAAAATGAAGCTGCAGTGTCCTGGACTGCGTGGAGTAATCCCACAAACCCATCTTCTCACCATTTTKGGGGCTGTGGGTACTGTTTAACCCACAATTCTGTGCTTGCTGGGGGGCTCCTTCCCACGGGAAATCAACTTCCCACCTGGAATAGCCCCACAGACCCCGTGCTTGGACAGCAGAGGCTGAGGGTTGGGGCACAAGGAGACATCCATGGAGGAGAGCTGTGTTGTAGCTGCAGCCTGGGAGGAGGGGAAGGAGAAGGGAAATGGGATTTGTGTTGTGGCTGATCTTCAACCCCTCCTTTGAATTCTGAGCACAACCACCCACACCAGAGCYGCATCTGGTGGAGGGAAGAGGAGAASAAGGGACTTGGCAAAGGAGCTGAGTGCACATGTTGGGTTTTTGGGTGCTCTCCAGGCCTCCTCCACGCGGGTCCTGCCTTCTCCATGAACATCCCTGGGCCAGACCAACACCCACCTTTCCACTGCAGGTTCCCTGTTCTCTCCCGTTCCCTCTGCTCCTCGCTGGCCTCTCCTCACCCAGCCACGAGGCAGAGACACCCCTCTCCCTCTTTCTCCCCCATCCTTCCCTCTCCTTCCTCCCCCCAGCTCAGCACAGCGAGAACCGGCGGGAGTTGATGTTCATCTTGGTGACCCCGATGAGCTTGAGGGGCGTGGAGAGGCTGAAGGAGCTGACGAGGGGGAAATCACAGAAGAGGTCGGCCAGCTCGTCCCTCTCCTCCAGCTCGAAGGTGGCRTCGTTGAGCATGCGCTGGTGCAGGTGACACGTCTGCTCGATCTTCAGCTTGTTGATGTCGCTGCGCAGGCGCATCAGCTGCCGGGCCAGCTGCTGGTCCTGCAGCCGCATTTCTGCCTGGAACGGGGAGGGAAGAGGGGTTTTTATGGGTGAATTTGGTGCCCCCTGCTCGAGGTTGAACCGGATTGTAGGGAAGGGAAGGATGTTGAGATGCTYGAGATGTAGAGAAGGGTGACAAGGCTGGTGAAGKGTCTGGAGAACAAACCCWAYRAGGAGCAGATGAGGGAGCTGGGGGGGCTCAGCCTGGAGAAAAGSAGGCTCAGGRGAGACCTTTTCACTCTCCAAAMCYCCCTGACAGGGKGTTATAGCCAGGTGGGGCTCAGGCTCTTCTCTGAGGCACCCAGGACAAGAGGACACAACTTTAAGCTTCACCAGGAGAAGTTTAGGTTGGACATCAGGAAAAAATTCTTTACAGAACAAGTGACTGGACACTGCAATGAGCTGCCCAGGGAGGTGGTGGCATCACCACCCCTGGAGGTGTTWAAAACCAGWCTGGATGTGGCACTCAGTGCCATGGCCTGGTTGATAAGGTGGAGTAAGGTCAGAGGTTGGRCTCGATGATCTCAAAGGTTTTTCCCAACCTGAAYGTGATTCTGTGATTCTGGGAACTCACCTAGAGATGCTCGATCTGTGAGGGAGATGGGGATCTTCCAAACCAGCAATGCAACCCAAAAAAATACAGCTCAGGATGGGAAATTTTAAACAATTGAGCAAGTCTGTGCCCGCTCATGATTTCAGGAGCACCAGGAAACTGGAATTAAAGCCATGCCAAGGCTGTTGGCTTGGGTAYCCGTCAGGCTTCAGAGCCTCCATCTCAACATTAAACAAAGCCCAAATTAATTTTGCTCAWAAGGCAGCAGCCACAGGGAGAGGGAGCAATTAGAGGTGGAAAGGACCAATTAAAAGAACACCAAATAACTGATCCCCAAACACCCAGCCTGGGTTTCCAGTCTGCATAAATCAGAGCTGGTCCATGGCAGAATCCACCTCCCCCATGGTTTATTTTATCTTAGCCATTTGAAAATGCTCTCAGGATGGGACCTCCATGGTTTCCAAAAGGAAGGAGAATGATCACCTCCAGGACAATGATTTAAGTGGTTTTTGGAGGTATTTTTTCTCCTCTGGCAGCTGGCTTGGGAAGGTGGAAGATTCAGAAGTAATGAAAGAAAAGAGGTATTTTATTTCTTTTTTTTTTAAAAAAAAAATCCAACTCGTAATTAAGCAGAAAATTGATACTGTGGATGTTGTGGGTAGTGAAGGAAGGAGATGGACTCTTGGTGCAGGAATCAGCCTTTGGCTGGGGAACAGGAGCAGGCAGAGCTGGGAAAGCCAAGAAAACAATCCTCACTTCTCACCCCAATCCTTTCCTCACAGAAAAGCARCAAACCACAAAAGCTGCAAAGAAAAGAAGGTGGTGGGAGAGAAACCGAACAGGATCACCAGAAGGGGGTGGAATAGGATGGTCTCTAAGGCCCCTTCCCACTCAGGCCATTCTGGGATTCTAGGATATGGGATAAAATCCCTTTTTTTTTTTATTTTAGCAGTGTGGATGTGATCAGACCATATCAGTTTCCCTCCTGCTGGAAATGGGCTACTCAATTTATGGATGTAGCTCGGGATGTAAAGAGGAAATTATTCCTGGCCTGGTGACTTGTGCATGAAGAAGCAAAAGGGAAAGGACGAGGGAAAATTCCCCTTGAGAGACCCCACAGAGACCCTGATATTTATCCATGAGACCTTTCCAGCCTGACATGAGGGCTGCTGCAAGAAGGTTGTGAACCAAAACAGCCTTGGGGCTGCTTTAACTTGTGCCACAATCCCTCCTCCTCCTCCAAGCAATCAGAGAATCCCAGAATGGTTTGGGTTAAAAGAGACCTTAAAATTAATCCTATTCCACCTCTGCCATGGGCAGGGACACCTTCCCCTATCCCAGGGGGCTCCAACCTGGACTTGGACACTTCCAGGGATCCAGGGGCAGCCACAGCTTGTCTGGGAATTCTATTCCATGGCCTCCCCACCCTCACAGGAAACAATTTCTTCCCAATATCCCATTTAAATTCCTTCAAGCCCAAACCATTCTATTCTCTGGCACCACWGAGATATCCTGGAGGACCTTGCCTGATGCTCCCAGCCAGCAGCTGAATTCCAGCTTTCTCTGGAGAGAAATTCTCCAGCTGTCTCTGGAGAGGATCAAGTCACCTTTGTACCAATCTCTGAGTGAATCTCTTCTCTCTCAGGAAATCTCAAATTGTTGGCATGGTTGTGGCMATTTACCTTTTCTATAAAAACCCCATTGTTTCCTCTCAGACCTCATAACCCGTGCCCCCAGCAGAGCAATGCCACTCGGCAGGTTTTTATTCTCCCACCTGAGTTAAAATATATTAAAAAAAAAGTAATTTTGTTGATATTTTTTCCTGCTTCACAACAAATGCTGCCATTTTATCAGGGAGGCGATCACAGGTGTTATTGAAGTGACCCTGGGTCATTCTTTCATCTCAGCCTATCAAGTTACTTAAGAAATGCCAACAAAGGCATCCATTGAATATTTTGAAGAATGTGGGATTAAAAAAGCCTCAGCTGCCAAAAAAAAGGCATTTAAAAGAGAATTATGAGGCCATTGTGCAGAGGGGTGTGAGCTGTCGGTCCTTTTTTCCTCTTCCAAACCAGCTTTACATTTTTTGACTGGTTTTCCCCCTCTTTTGAGGAAGCCATTTGATTTCCTGCAAGCCTGGAAGACAAAGCCCTYCATGAAATAAAGATAAGGAACAAAGCCTRGCAATGCTTGGCTAAAGYYGTGTGGATGTGGCACTTGGGGACACGGGTCAGTGGTGACCTTGGCAGTGCTGGGTTAAGAGCTGGACTCAGAGATTTTYGAGGGCTTTTCCAATGTTAAAAAATCTATATTTCTGTGAGAGGATGAGGTGCACAAGGAAGAGGTGGCCCTTGGGGTGAGGGCTGTGAGTGCCTGTGCTCCTTGGAACTCTGCCTTATCATCCTGAGGGTGTGGGGTGACAGTTGTCACCTCAGCTGGTGACAGCTCCATGGGGTGACAGCCGGGCAGAGGGTGGAGCAGGAATTTTGGGCAGCTCTGCAGGACACAAACTCTCACTCCCCACACTCCTCCCTGRGGCTTGGCTTGAGATGCCAAACCCCCATCCTGCATCCATGGAGCTGTCCCATTAAACCCTGCTCTGCTCAAACCCTCCCAGAATATCAGAGGAATTTCACCAAGAAACCCTCATTCTCCTTCCCCTTTTTCCAATACTAAAACAATTATCCCTGTCCCATGCTGAGCGCCAAACAATCCCTGGAAATGAAGAGTGATGCCCCTTTAAAAGCAGGACAGCAGTGCTCCAAAAARCTGCCTGGGAATGAATAATGGGATTACAGGGGGCACATCATGGGAATCTGTGGGGTTTTGGYGTGCACAGTTCACCCACAGTCACCACGAGGTGACTCCACACTCCATCCATGTGGGATGGCAGCAGATTCCCACACATGGAGTGAAATGCTCTGGAGAAACCCATGTGGAGCATCCAGCAGAAAGCAGGAATTTTATTTCCTTTGATCCTCTCATGGCCGGGGCAGGAAGAGCTTTAGGTGCGYCTTGCTCATAAAAATCAACTTTTTAACAGGTTCTGCCTCTTCCTGCRCACCCAGGTCCAGCTGATTCTCACCAGCATGGCTGGGGAATGCTTTTGGGATGGATAGGATGCTGGGTTGAACSTCCCAGGGTGGAAGGAGGAGCTAAACTCAGGTCCTTCCTGGCAGAGAAGCAACTGCTGGATTGAAATGCAAATCTGGACCACAGGTTTATGGACCCAGGGAGGATTTTCTGTTTGGACTGAGCCTCAGAATCTCCTGGGGATATTTCATAGGAGAGAAAGAGAGAAAGCTTGGGGTGTTTTCTTTCCTGTTTTCCAGTCCAGGGGGCTCAGACCACATATCTATGAGCAGTTGCTTTCATTTTTGCCTTCAGCAGACAGAAAACCCAATAATTTCCCCAAATCCAGCAGTTCATCTCTTCCCTACATTGCTGTGGGGGGAGTTTTCCAGCAGGCAGCACCTCAAGGCATGGAGATATGGGGCTTTCTGAGATTTCCTTCTCTTCCCAAAAGAGAARAGTCCCACGGATGAAGTCCCAGCCTGGTCTGTGAAGCTCAGAGGGATGGTCTGTGGAGAGGCAGCTGCTCCCACAGAGCCAGGCCTCCTTCTTTCCAAAAGATCAAAAAAAAAAACCTGAAATCTAAATGGTTCCTTTCCTGAGTGCAGCTACTCTGGTTCAGGCATAGAGAAGCACAGCCTGCTTTTCAGATCCTTGCCAAACCCTTCAGACAAGCCCACGTTGTCTGAGTTTTGCTTTGGGTTTGGTTTGGTTTCTTCAAAGGTGCTCAGGTGCCACCCTGTCATGGCTAATTTTGGTGCTCACACCCTTGTGGTGCAACCCACAGCCCCAGATGTGGAATCCCAGCTCCTTCTGCAGTGTCTGGCAGCTCCCCACCACCAAATCCCAGGATGCCTTTGCCTTTTGTGGGTCCCAAATCACATTTTTCCTCGGTGCTGGCTCTGTGTTGGCTCCCTCTCTCCCCAAAGCAGGGTGGCTGCACCCAAACTGACCCTTGGGGATGGTCCTGTTCCATAATAACTCCTAAACTCTTCCCTGGTTTCAGAAATTTAACAGCAGAGGTCACAGAATGGTTTGGGTTGGAAGGAAAAATAAAGATCATCYCATTCCATCACCCTGTCATGGGCAGGGACAMCTTCCACTGTCCCAGGKTGCTCCAAACCCTGTCCAGCCTGGCCTTGGACACTTCCAGGGATCCACAGCTTCTCTGGGTACYCTGTGCCATGKCCTCATTACCCTCAYAATAAGGAAATTTTKTMCCACATCATTATTTAAGTTMACCCAGGCACTTGCTCAGGCAGTATGTATATCCCAAATAGAAATAAAAGTGTTCAATATTTAATAATAAATGTCTGATTAACAGGACACAGGTGTTTTATGATTTCCCAGGAGAGAACATCAGAATTTTTGTCCTTTTTCAAGTCTCTCCTGCATTCTGGCCCTCACACCCCTCATATCTGAGTGCCAAATGGGTGAAATTGAGACACAAAACTCATTTTCCTAATGGGGCAAAATTAGAACTGCTCTAAGATCTGTTCATCGGTTTGTGCTTCAGCCATGCTTGAGAGGGAAAGGAATTTCAGTGCTTAATTTTATAACTTGTAAAACCTGGCTAATTTCACAAATAAAGAGCAAAATGTGACCCCTCCAGCCCTCGTGGCTGATGATGGTTTTGCTCTGGGCAGGGATGAGGAGCACCTTTGACAGTGCAAAGGCAAACACAAGGGCAGAGGGGAGGCAGGAGGAGCTGGAGAGGGAAATGCTCCAGCCCTGGGGCAGCTCAGCACACGCTGAGAGCTGCAATTTGCTCCTACACCTCCACAGAGCCTCTCAGCACAAAAAAACAAGAGCAGTTTGCCTGTCTGAATAAATCAGCTTCTCCGGGGCCAGGCTCTCAGCAGGGCACAGCTGACTTGGCTGCCCGTGGGTTTATGTCAGTCCTAYAAACCCAGCCAGGACCTGGGATGAGTCACATGAGGTGACAGCCCAAGGAAAGCAGATGGACAATAAAAATCTTGGGTTTGTCTTTTGCTGMACTTCTGAACGTGAGCAGCCTGGTCCGGGCTGAAGCTGAACCAGATCAGACTTTGGGGACGCAGAGGAAAATTCCTCGCAGTRCCAGATGATTCTTTTTGTTGGATTGGGAGTAAGAAGAGATAGGGCAAGAGGAAATGGCCTCAAGTTGTACCAAGAGAGGTTTAAAATGGAGATCAGGAATAATTTCTTCACTGGAGGGTTGTCCGGCCCTGGCTCATGAGGAATCCCCATCCCTGGAGGGATTTAAAAGCTCTGTGGATCTTGGGGCCATGGGTCAGTGGTGGCCTTGGCAGTGCTGGGGGATGGTTGGACTCTTAGAGGACCTTCCCAACACAAACCCTTCTRTGACAGCACTAAATTTACTCTCCTGCCTCTGCTGCGTTTGGCTGGGATAGAGTTAAACCCCAAACCTGTACCAGCTGCCTGTTGGGAACAGTCCCCAGCATGTGCAAACTCCTGGAGCTCCCAGAGCTTGGCAGGAGCTCCCTGGGACAAGCCAGAACCTTCCCAGGGCGATGCAGTGGGAACAGCCCGGCCTGAACACGCCAGGAGCTGTTCTGGGGGCTGAGGGAGCAGGAGCTGCATCCTCTATGTTTCATTGAGCAAGGAAATGCCTGCTGCACTTCTGCCCTGCATGGAAAACCCCCAATTCACCAGCTTTGGTCCTTCTGTTGGATAGAGGAATCCTACAGATCCTAAATGATCATATCATGGAATCACAGAGTCATGGAATGGTTTGGGTTGGAAGGGACCTTWAATTTCATCCAGTCCCACTCCMWGCCAYRGRCAGGGACACCTTCCACYATCYCAGGYTGCTCCAAGCCCTGTCCAGCCTGGCCTTGGRCACTTCCAGAGATCCARGGGMAGCCACAGCTTCTCTGGGCAMCCTGTGCCAGGGCCTCCCACCCTCCCAGGGAAGAATTTTTTYCCMAWWWYCC